AAATCACTGAACCCCGGGGTCGTTATTTTTGTTATTTAAAAAGGCCGCTTAGACTTGTGGTCTATATGCTTAGAAACCTTAAAAGGTTCTGCAAACTTGGAGGCACTACGAATGAAGAATAAGATAATTGCTTTTATTCTACGATTTGGGGGTATACATCTATGATATTTGCTAGACGTTTCTTTTTTGAGCAGCTTTTTTTTTTTTTTTTCAGAGCTGGGAATTGAACCCAAGACCCCAGGCATGTGCTCTGCCACCGAACTATACTCCCAACACCTAAATTTTTTTTTTAATTGAAAATAGTTAACACAGTGAGTTCCAGGACAGCCAGGATTGTTTCACAGAGAAATCTATTTCAAAAATATTTTTTTTCATATATTATAACGGTTCCCCTCCCCCAACTTGCCAGATCCTCTCTAAGAAAATATTTTAGAGGAAAGGGATCCTAATGTGTTTTTATTCTCTTATTTTTAAAACTCAGTCTTGATAGGTGTTTAGCAACGTCATTAACATACAAAGGACCAGCCTCTGCCTTTAATGCAGCCTCAAAAGCAGTATGCAGATAAACCTAATTAAAAAACAAAACAAAACTTCAGGCTTGATGAAGCAAGAGATGAGAAACAGGATATGATCCACACCGGGTTAAATGCTGGGGATGAAAGTCTTGTATGGGATCCTTAGAATGGGTACCCGGCTCAGTAGAATGCTTCCAGTGCTAGGATGCTCACTATCTCGAATAACTGAGTAGTCTATGGTTAAACATATCTCCTTCAGCTTGTGTTTTCATCTCAACTCTCCTTCTTTCCTGGAGGTGACACACTTTTCTTGAGTCCCCCCACCCCTGCCTTCTCTTCCCACAGTTCAAGTTCAGGTCAGCAGATTTATATATTCTTAGTTAAGGCTTCTTTTCTCCAGAAACTACTGTTAGGTTGGAAATAGACAGGTACAGACCTGCTCAGTGGTACTCACAGAACACACGGCCATAGGAAATAGGGTGCTGCTGGAGGAATAGTCCAATTTTTAACAGACAAGTCAGAAGTATGTGTTCTCTCTGTCTCTCTGTCTCTGTCTCTCTCTCTCTCTGTGTGTGTGTGTGTGTGTGTGTATGTGTGTGTGTTAACCAAATTCACCTGCACAAGCAACACCGGAAAACATAGGCTAATGCTGGTCTCATTCCTCCATTCAATATTTTGTCAGTTTCCCTACTGGTGTATTAAATAGAAAAGAAGTAAAGCTGGGCGTGGCAGAGCAGCCTTTTAACACCTTTAATCACAGCACTTTGGAGGAAGAGGCAGACAGATCTCTGAGTTCAGGGCCAGCCTAGTCTACATAGTGAGTTCCAGATCAGCCAAGGAACACTGTCTAACAACAACAACAACAAAAAGACAAGGGCTAGGCCGGGCAGTGGTAGCACATGCCTTTAATTTAAAGCACTTAGGGAGGCAGAGACAGGCAGATCTCTTTGAATTTAAGGCCAGCCTGGTCTACAGAGTGAGTGCCAGGACAGGCTCCAAAGCTACTCAGAGAAACCTTGTCTCAAAAAAAAAAAAAAAAAGTCAAGGTACAAGGATTTTGATATGATAGAAAAAGATACAACTACCATTTATTATAGTCAGTTTGGATATCTATGTGAACAACCCAGGAGAATCTGTCAGTAGATTACTAAATTAATAGAATTTAGCAAGGTAGGTCATTATATATAAAATGTGTGTGCTATGACTACATTTCTTTTTTAAAAATAATTATTTTTATCATATGTATATTAGCGTTTTGCCTCATATATGTCTGTGTGAGGGTGTCATATCCCCTGCAACTAGAGTTACAGACAGCCACGAGCTGCCATGTGCTGGGAATTGAACCCAGGTCCCCAGAAAGAGCAGCCAGCCAATGCTTTTAACTGCTTAGCCATTGTGCTAGCCCCATGACTACGTTGCTAAATGCAGGCGGCAGTCAGGAAAATAAACCCATGAAGAGGAATGGCTTACAGTAGCATCAACAACATGACGATCCTGGAAATAAGACCTTTTTGAATGTGCAGGTTTATTCTGGAGAAACAAAGACATTAAAGAAGATACTAATCAGTGAACACACCATGTGACAGGCTGGGAGATTCCAAACCAGGAAGAAAGCTTAAGTCCACCTGTAGATTTTTTTAAAAAATATTTTATTATGTATACAGCATTCTGCTTCCATGTATATCTGCACACCAGAAGAGGGCACCGGATCTCATAATGGATGGTTGTGAGCCACCATGTGGTTGCTGGGAATTGAACTCAGGCCCTCTGGAAGAGCAGTCAGTGCTCTTAACCTCTGAGCCATCTCTCCAGACCCCATCTGTAGATTTCTTAAATTTTCATTTACTTACTTAGTTTGGAGTACTGGGTTGTATCCCTAGTGCTCGCCCATGCAGTACAAATGTCCTGCCATTGAACTACAGCCTGGCTCTCATCTATAAATTTAATACAATCCTTTAGAGCACTTGGAACAAAAGGCCTTTTCTGCTCTGTGAGAAACTTGTTCCAAAGTTCTGCAGGAGCCAGGATTGGTGGTGGTGCACACTTGCGGTCCCACCACTCAGGAAGCAGTGGTGAGAGGGTTTATGGTCACCTGGGCTAGTAGTGAATTTCAGATCAGCCAGGGTTGCATAGAGACTTTGAGTCTGTGTGTGTGTGTGTGTGTGTGTGTGTGTGTGTGTGTGTGTGTAAAGAGTCAATGTTTCTAAAGGACTATTGTATGGACCCAATGTAGGCAGAGTTTTTGGTCTGGACAGCCAGCTCCCAAATAACCACACAGAGATTTCTTATTAATTATGAAAGCTCAGCCAATAGCTTAGGCTTGTTTTAGCTAGCTCCTAAAACTTTTTTTGGGGGGGCGGGATTGAGACAGGGTTTCTCTGTATTGGTTTGGAGCCTGTCCTGGAACT